TATCTGTCCTCAATGTCATTATGTTAAGTTTGATAATGTATCGATATCTGAACGCATGCATACAATGAACTCTGTATCTTTTTAAGAAATATAGTAGGCCTTACGTTGTTTTTTTAATCGCTCAAAGTGTGGGCCCTAAAATAATGAAGCCTACTAGTAGCACTGTCTACGGATGTGTAGACTATTACATTATTTCGGAAAGTGTGTTAGATTAAATTAGCATTATACTATAGAGTCTGTAAAGATTTAAAAAAAAAAAACCTGACGCTCAGACGGCCTTTTTTACAATAACTTATAATTATTATTATTAAAAGTTTAATACGTTATATAATGACATTCATGAGGCCCTTTCGGTGGCCCTACCGGCCTAGTTGAGTACCGGCCCACCGGGCATTTTGCCCGAATGCCCATATAGCCAGTCCTCTATCTATTGTTACATAGCCTCCTCTTCTTGTTATTAACCATTTGGCAAATATTTCATTTTAGTATTAACAGCTACAAAGTTTTAAAAAAAAACCCAACTAAGTCGTGTATAGAAATGTCAAAATCCGGTTTATAAAATGCTAAATCATACTTTACAAAAAGAAAAACGAAACCTAATGAAATACTCAGAAAGACACAAAGATCGAGGCACATTTCTTATTCCATACGCTAGAACGAATTCTTATAAGGGTTCCTTCTTCCCTAGTACTATTAGAGAATGGAATGGGTTGTCTTAATCAGCCAGGAACACCAACGACTTAGCAGAATTTAAGTCATTGATTAACAAGAATGACTAGATTGAAACATAAAATGCTTTGGATGTAATTATCATCTTTTTTTTTTGAAGTAACTTTATAATATAAAAGGTAGGATAAGATAAGATATTAACTCATTATAGAGGACTACACTTGACAGTCTAAATAAGACTAAATAGAGCCCAGATCTAGATATATATAATATAATATAATATAATATAATATAATATAATATAATATAATATAATATAATATAATATAATATAATATAATATAATATAATATAATATAATATAATATAATATAGAGCACTTCGAACCGGAAGTCCCGTGTTCGAATCCTGGTAAAGACTGTAGGTGGACCATTTCGGGGGCCGATTTTGAGTTTGTGTTTCCACACAAACTGTCATTGTAACCTTGTTTAAAGGTAATTTTCAAAATGATGCACAAAGCATCGTTTTAACTACGCCATCATATTACATTTGTTTTTAAAAATTGCAACTACCGTTGGACGGGTGTGTAATAAAGGGGGTGGGAGTGGCGTTTAGTAACACTGTCAAGAAACTTCTTGAAATTGTGCACATGACAGCAAGGATCACATGAGATCGGGTGTAAATAATAACATTGTCTAAAAGTTCATGCCCTACTTAATGGAAACTTTACAAATCTCAACGTCATTCACTGTTGAAGATAGAAACTTTTCGAATGTAATTTGTGTGTAGTTGTGCAATAATAATTATAAGGATAATGAAATCGTTAAGTGCGTGGGAGGTATTGATAGTTATTAAATGAAGTCTGCTAAATTTGAATGTCCTTTACTCTCCCATTGTTTCGAATATTCAATCTTTCATTCACTGTCCATTATCTTCTTCCCAAACCAACAAACAGGCACGAGGTAATCCCGTGAACACAGGTCTGTTCAATGGATAAATATGTAAGCTGTTGTTTTTTTAATTCGACCAGGTCGACCCCCCTCACAATAAAACTAACGAACGTCCTTTTCTAGCCCTTTAACCCCCCCACCCTCCCCATCCCCTGTCCAGGTGGGATGTCATTTCAAAACACCTTTTACACGTCAATTAAAAACCAATCGATGGAAAGGTCATTGAACTTTGATTGGGCACATCGATATGATGTCCGCTCTCTGCGCCCTTGCAATCAACCACGCCACGCGAATTGTTACTTAACAACAAAGCACGACGGCAACCACTTTTAAGTTTTACTTGTTTAACCATCATCATCATCCCTCCTTTGAGTTCCTTTGGAACATAGTGGCCTCGACAAAAACACGCCACTCTCCACGGTCTCTTGCTAGTTTTTTGATGGTTTCCCAGCTCTTCCCGTCCTTTCGGCTTCTTCAAGTACACTGCGTCGCCATGTTCAACCATGGTCAACCCTTAATGTCCAGGTTCAAAATCTGCTCTCTCCCTCTTCCACAGCTTGCAAGCACACACACATAGTAATACACCCACTATTTTTGTCCCCCCCCCTCCCCAAAAAAATATTATATTATAATAATAATTTTAAAAAATTCTTAAATAAACTATATATAGAGGCATTGTGATGTTAAGATTCATGCTATGAACACTTTCTGGAGGTCAGTGCAGCAGTCAGGTGACCTGATTAAATCGAGACCAATCGTTATAGTAGGCCTCAACACTGACCTGCAACATCACAACCTGTGGTCACTGGGGGCCAAAAGCTATTTGTCACGTCACAGTTCTGTCTCCACTGCCCACAGGTTGCGACGTTGCAGGCCAGTGTTGAGGCCTTATATAACGATTAGCCTTGATTTCTACTACAGGATGAACAAGTTCGTGTGAAAAGCTCTCTGGGTTTAAATTACTTAACTCCTTTCGGAGTAATGTCATAGATCTTAAACAAAAAAAAAAGAACAAAAAAAAAAGGGGGGGGGAAGGGCTGGTAGAACTTTGCACAGTATCTTTTAAAGTAAAAGTAATTGCCGACCACACTACATCCTCAGTAAAAAAAAAAAAAAAGTAAATTGTCAAGTCCAAAAGGAACCAAGCCTATTAAGTTTCTATATTGCTAGCTTGACATAGTGTGAAGAAATGTTTGAGTTCCTTTGAAAGAGGGTGATTGAAGATGGAGTAAAGGGGCCGAATGGGTGGACTCCAGGTAACCCTTACCATCTGGCAAGATTATATCTTAACCATTGAAGTCGTTTCATGGACATTGGATTCTTTTCACTGTCAAGGTCGAGGGATTACAGTAAAAGAAAAACAATAAAGAAAAACAAACAAAAAAATCATAGAAAATGTTATAAATGTATTAGTAGGAGGTACTATCGATAACTTGGTTGACATGTACTATACTAGTAGGAGGTACTATCGATAACTTGGTTGACATGTACTATACTAGTAGGAGGTACTATCGATAACTTGGTTGACATATACTATACTAGTAGGAGGTACTATCGATAACTTGGTTGACATATACTATACTAGTAGGAGGTACTATCGATAACTTGGTTGACATGTACCATACTAGTAGGAGGTACTATCGATAACTTGGTTGACATGTACCATACTAGTAGGAGGTACTATCGATAACTTGGTTGACATGTACCATACTAGTAGGAGGTACTATCGATAACTTGGTTGACATGTACCATACTAGTAGGAGGTACTATCGATAACTTGGTTGACATGTACTATACTGCTATTGCTCAGTGATCTTTTTATTATTTTGGTTTAAGACTTACAGTTGTCTTTAGAAAGATTGACCTTTGCTGAAATTCTCTTAATCATACATGAAAAAGAAGGGTTGTGAAAAAAAATGGGGCGGGGGGGGGGGGGGGAGAGCTCATACAAAATTGAGATTTTTTCTCTTTCATATTATCAGTACATTAGTTTTTAATGTGTTGTTCTTTTTATATAATTATTTTATTGAAGTACATTTTGTTTTCCAACTTAGGTTTTGCTTGATGTAGGTTCTATAACAAATAGCTGGTTCTATTGTTTTCATATATTTACTGAATGGAAAATTCTCTTCAAGTCAGGACTTCAGCTTCCAATCTCCTAGCGATGATGTTTTTCTCTTTTACATATGCATGTTAAACAGATGATCGTACTGAAAGTAAATTAGTGACCACAGATATTGCAGTTTCCTGTTTTAAATATGTCAGCAAGCATTGCTTGTCATCAAGGACTTTCATTAAAAGATAAAAATTGTGTGTTGTTCCATTTATTTTCAATCCTAGGTGGTCTATTTCTATATCTTTGGTGATGTGAAATTGAAAATAATAAGCATATACCAGGACAACGATAAATAAAATAGCACCAACAGAATAGCGCTTGAATTTTTGAAATATATTTTATTCATTATTGTCAATAGTTCATCAGAAAAACGTTATGTACAAAATAAGTCATACATTCATGTTGAGCACTTCATAGGTCAGTCAATCACATGTACACAATAAATAACAGCGAGCACTCACTTTTTTTTTCTCTCTATAAATACACTCGGAAATGATGTAAACAATCAACAGATCAGCGCGCGCGATTCAGTTTTATCCCAACAAGTAATAAATTAACGCACTCTCTCTTGTCCCCATTTCCTATCGAACTTTTGGAGGGGGACTTCACACTTTGCAAACATGTACAATAAATTAAGTGTCGGGTTTGTACAATAATGACAGGGAAGAAATTGATTTGATGATAACAGACAACCAACAGCTTTCAGACAATACTTCCTAGCACTAAAAAAAAAACAAAAAAAACGTCAGCACCTATTAGGACTTGGCTAAATAAAGAAACAAAAACTAGGCCTCGGTTTAGTCTCCAAACAAAATATGCACATGTTTAGGATGGATCTGATTTTCTGTATGGGGAAAAGGAAATGCTGAATTTTTGTTTTTCTTATGCAATTAAAAAAATATAATGTGAAACAATTTATTTTATTTACAATTTTTTTGTCAACAAAAGAACAGTTGGATTGGCAAATAACCACTGGTCTAGTACATACAAGGTGGTCACAGGGATATAAGTAACTCAAAAACACTGTCAGAAATACTCAAAAAAATTTTTTTTTAGAGAAAAACAGATAAAAATAAAAGACATGTACAATTTTGCATTGTTAATGTGCTTGCTTCGAGGCCATATGACGGGCCTGCTGCCTTGGAAAGATGGGGCTTGGGGAGGGGTGGTCAATAAGCAAAAAAATAATAATAGATTCCAGAGCTTCCATTTACAGACTAGTCCTACTATTGGTATAACACTAGAGACAAAGATTGAATGCGTCTCAAAAAAAAAAAAAAAAAAACATTCATAAATGATCAATCAATGTACAATATCAGGAATGAAATCAACTTAAGATGTTTTGTTGCCCAGCACGGGGCAACAATGAGTGAAATATAGCACCTGTCTTGGGAAACGGGGGAATTGGGGAATTCGCACTCAAAAAAAAAAAAATAAAAAAAAAAATCAAAAGCAATAACACCAAAAAATTTGCAAGATATTAAATATATAAATATGTAACAATTTCTTCTATTCCCAGTACACTCTGAAATCGTATCCATAAAACATTCAGCTTTAAAACTAATTGTCAATCATAAATGTAAAGTGCACATCATATCCAATAAAAGTTTTTAAATACTCCTTACCATTCACTAAGAAGTTGTACAGTGTGTACCTGTTTACTATTATGTACAATTATCTCGAGAACACACAGTCATTTGTACGGTAATAAATACAATCACACTGGTATTGGAGACCCACTTCTCTCACTCACAGAACCAAAATAAAAAAAGTAGAATATTTCAGGGTTGTCTTCTCTTGGAACATCGACTACAATGCAGAATAAATAAAATGAGATAGTTTAAAAAAAAAACAAAAAAAACAAGCAAATTTACATATCTACATACTTACAAATTAAAACAGGAGGGCTATACAGCATTAATTATTATTTCTTTAAATGCTTCTAATAGTACTACTGCTGTTTATAAAAATAAATCTTGAATTTTTTTTGTTTTAATATTTGCAATAAAAAGGATATTTCCCTACATCAAGTTATCACACAACAAGACATTCTGCAAAGAAGGGTATATATTAAATAGACTACAAACGTTAAATCAAGTTTTTCATTCCTCAATAAGTTCTCTTAAACAGGAATATTAAAAGGAAAAAAAAATAAAAAGTCATAACTTTGACATTGCAGGAATAATAAATAGAAAATACAAAAAGGCAGCCCAATGTCTAGACAGTCTGGAATGCATAAAGACTTTGAAATAGTTTGGAAGAAAAACTAAATGCTCAGAACTTTGCAACGAACATGAAGAATGGCATTCAGTTGATGAACGCAAAAAAAAAAAAAAAAAGTCAAGGAAATAATGATTTAATTTTTTGTTTACAAGGAAGATGTGATTTATATGGATTCACTTTGTAATTAAAAATATAGAGCTCTGATATTTGAAATAAACAAATGAAATGAAAACAATTGGCATAGATTAATGAGATCTTTTGTTATTTGGGGATGAATAATAGAAACTGACCAAAAAAAAATTAGACCTGAACTTTTTATGGTTCTCTGATCCCATGAATTCTTAAAACATGACTAGATATACACATCCAGAATCTACACTTTTACTAAAAAAAAATAATAAAACATTGTGAAAAAAAAAATAAAAAATAAAATTTAAAAATAAAAAAAATGCTAAAATCTTTTCCAATACTTCCCCAAACCCCAAAAACAAAAAAAAAATTAAGCCTATAAATCCCAGTGGCATAATGAATATACACAATGACAATTGAACTGTACAGAATTAATATTAGTTCACCAGGACTTTATAACTAATGACTTAAACTTGTTAATACTGAACATTTTTCCAGACATTTTCATTACAATCTTCTTTCCCCCCACAGGCTCTCAAATATTCTATTCTGCTGACCATAACACACTGTAGACAAAGTGGAAGGTCATTGCATCCATTATGCTTAAGGAAATTTCTTTTGCTAAGTTGCCTTCACTAGCTCTTTTATAAAACCCAAGATAAAAAAAAATACTATCATCCTATGTCTCTGGGCATGCAAGTAATACGGATAGGGAGTCACAATGGGTTGGATGTCATAATTGCACTGTTGTAAAAGCTGGTTTCCCAGCAACCTTCTCAGAAGTCAATGTGTGTGTAGAGTTATTTATAGAATGTAGGGAGACAACTTTTAAATGTCGCACATAAATCCAAAACATTTGTCTGTTCACTACTTCATGGCGCTGGACTTTGTATTACGAGGTGGGCTTCCCTGCCAGTTCAAGCTCACGGAGCTCATAAACTAGGGCACGCTGTAGCCGGAGCTGACCAGAACTCTCAACCATGGACATTTTCTGAGGCTGTGTCCACCTGGGTTAGTCCCAATCGGAATAAAGTGTCCACTTTCAGAATTGACTCCAGAGAGTCTTGGGACAGTCCACTTATTTGTGAAACTCATTCTTTGCAGGATTCCAGGAGTTTCACAAAAAAGCATCCAGAAATAAAAACCTTGGCTACAGAGTCACACCTTTGCCTTCACAAAGACTCATTGCTACTGAGCAATGCCACATCCACAACCTTGCCAGAGGCTGTTGTCCTTTTACGATTCTCAGGGATGGGAATGGCTGCTGGCACCTTGGCCATCCATGGATGAGACAAAATCTGGTCTAGTGTTGGCCGCTGATGAGGGTCTATGGAAAGGCACTTGCGAATGAGATCCTTACATGCTGAAAAGGAAACAACAAAAACTTATTGAAATGCAATAAAATGTATTTCATTAATGTCTCAGTAGTAGTAACGTCTCATACCGAAGTATCTATAATAAACTTACTAATTTGTAAGGAGCAACAGACGTGATGCTTACCTGGTGTTAGAGAAGCCTTGTAATGAAGCTGCGCTGCCTTGATTTGCTCATCCTGTTCAAAGGGGATATCCCCATTGACCAGGTCAAACAGCAAAATGCCAAGAGACCAAACTGTGGCATGACGACCATTGTAGAGGCGGTTTGAGATCCACTCTGGTGGGCTGTAAACTCTTGTGCCTGTGGAATAGAACAAAAAAAAATGGTTGAAAAAAAAAAGTGGTCCAACACATTGGAGTTAAAACATGGGTATTCCACATAAACAGTTCTTTACTGCCCCACTACAGAGTTGTTTCTTCCAGGTTTTTTTTTTGTTAAGTACTCCAAGCCAGGAAGCAGAAAGAGAAAGAACCGTTCCCGCTTAAAAAGCGCGCGAGGTAAAAAAAAAATTGGACCAGACAGTTTAGCTTTTCGCACCGAGAGCGTTGACCTGGGGACCTAGATAGCGTCCCCTTCCCTAGTACTAAAAAAAAAAATTCTCATGGTTCCGCAAACGTTATGAGGAACATTTTGACTGTACATCAACTAATACGTGACATACGGTAGAAGAGTTATTAGTGAATAGTGGAGTTAACTTATCGAGGGAGTTGAAGAAAAAAATGCAGTAACTCGGTTGAAGTCCGTAGCTTTAAGCCATGCCAACTGGTCACTAACGAAACTAAGGGCAAAAGTATCTTTTCCCACGCCGCGTTCCTGTGCCCTCTCTTGCCAAGCGGTTAATGACCCATTCAAGACCTCCTCGGTCGACGAGCACAAGTCAAACAATACCATAACCCTCCCCCCCCCCTACCGAAAAAAAAATCTTTCGGGCTACTACCTATATACAAGACCATAATTTTATACTATGGGTGTGTGTGGCTTATACTGTACACAACCAACATCAGAGCCTATCAATACACAACATTAGAGCCTATCCATAGCGGTCAGTTTTCTGATCCCAAACGCAAAAGACAGCACCTCCCTCCATGTAACGTGTACCTCACATGTCCAGGTAGATGGTACGAGTCGTACACATTCTCCCTCCGCGTCGCAGCATCGCCTCCTCAGCTCCTCTCCCAAACCTTTCGTTCGCAATTCCGTTCCACCAAGCCGGTTTTTCCAGACTCCGGGCATGAGTCATAGCTCACGCCAAAGGAATTTACGTCACTGAGCACAGGTAACCGCTCACCCGGTCTCACTTACCCCCTTTCCCCTCCCTACCACTTTCGTGTTTGTATATATTTTTTTCTTTGTGCACCAATCGGTTTTCAACTTTTTCACATCGTACCAATCAATCGTAACAACAAATTATCACGTTTAAAAAATGACGTGCGTAAAAATACTCCGTAAGACACTCGATTTCACAAGGTAAATACAATTTTCTGTAATTGTGTTAGCGAAATACCAAATGTTAACCATTTAAAGACTGCTAAATAGATTTTCTGGCCTAGATTCACAAATCCATTCTAAATACGCCACGAAATGTCAGGCAATCAAACTCAGGGCGCACGGTAACCTGTTATCGAGTTGTAACCTATTGAAACTGTTACGGTGCCACTTTTCAGATAAATACTTCAGGTCTAACGATATTTAAATTTATGTCAAGGTGCTCTGATGCTCAAGATACTCTTTCTCCTTGTTCTACAAACCATATATAGAGTTCGTGGCGCGTTTTCTGTGGACATTGTCACAATTATGTGATGGGTATTGACGTCTGCAAATCAACTCTACCATCACCCAACTCCACGTAGCAGTCTGACCCAACTCGTTCAAGGACGGGTAATTATACAAGAATTACGGGACAATTTAAAGTTCTACAACCCTTATTATCACTCCTGGTATAGTGACTTTACATCTATGCACGAGCGATTTTCAGCACATTCTTTTAACACATAATGGCTAAACGAACTTTTTTTTTTTTTGGTACTAAGTAAGATAAATCTACTTTTAAGTCATAATTATCTAAAAGATGTAATAATTGGTTTTAGTGGTTTAAAACATTAAATATTGATTTAAGTTCAGCTATATAAATTTCACACAAAACAGACACTGTTGAGTACTCACCATCAAAGTCGTCATAATCCGTTTCTCTCAGGATGGTCCCGGAGCCAAAGTCGATGAGTTTGAGCTGGTTGGTCTTGAGGTCTATCAGGATGTTCTCATCCTTGATGTCTCTGTGGAGGACTCCGCACTTCTCAATGCTCTGGACCATCTGCACGATCTGCAGGAAGAAAACGCGGGCCTCGGGCTCGCTCAAGGGGCCCCGCTCTGTGATGTAGTCGAAGAGGTCCTGCACGTTGTCAGGGCGCTCCATCACGATGATGAACTCTTGCGGGGTCTCGAATGTGTCCAGGAGCTTGATGACCCCAGTCACATGCTGGACGCGGTGCAAGAGGTGGAGCTCTAGTGGAACCTGAGAGCCACTGGGCTGTTGGCAAAGTGAAAAAAAAAAAAAATTAGCAGGTCGTTACACACGAAACTAATTCTAGTTATAAATGTGGACTTTTCATTATATACTAGAAGCTATTATTAGAGTATCACTTAGCACATTCGTGATATAACAGCGAAGCAAGGTCAAATGACGCCACCAGGTGATAGTACACCCATCGCTTGTCATTTATCTCACAATCACGAGCTGAGAGTAGTGACCTATTTGGCTAACACAAAGGCGTCACTCTCTTGAACTTCACACAACGTGAAACGATAAAATACCGCACAGATAAATCTATATTTTATGAATAGTAGCGCGTACGGTGAAGTCTTCTGGATACCTTACAAGTTGGACCCAGCCAGGACAGCCACAAGCCCGGACTTAAATATTCGCACACACACACAATTCTGAGACAAATTAAGCGCTAAGGGGAGGGAGTTGGGTGGAGCAGGAGGAGTGGACACGGGAAGGAGAAAAAAGGGGGAGAGAGAAGTGGCATACGTCGGTGACCTCTCGACGGTGTGGCACGGTGACTGACACAGAAGTGACCCTAAACGCAGAAACAACACAAAACTAGGACACTATTCACAAGCGCTGGTATGCAGACTGGAGATAGGCGCGCGAAAATCCCTCCCCTTGCCTCCTTGAAAAGCCACTTCATTCTTTAACATTCGTTCGCGGGCAGATGTGAATAAAAAAAAATTAGGGGAAACAAGTCAATGTGTCACGCCTTGACAATTTTAGCGTAACCCACATATAAAGGACAACATACCAACAACGTTCTAATAAACGCTCCCCTTTAATCTAGTCCTAAAATTGTAATAAACGCTCTCCCTTTAACCTAGACCTAATGTTCTAATAAACGCTCCCCCCTTCAACGTAGTCCTAAGATCCACACACGTTCTTCTTTGCTCCCGCTCCCCCCCTCTTCTTTCTTGGCATAGTCCTCTTTCACCCCTAGGCCACGGAAAAACTACAGCCCTGCAAGCCCGCGCTATGACCTGACCCCCGTCTGTTCCACATTCCGAACAGACGAAAAAATGTTTCCCCTCCCTTCCCTACCCTCGCTATGTGCTCCTG